TAAAAATAAGTAAACAACCATCATGTAATCCACCTACCTCGGGATATACGGGCACAATAAATATAGAGTCTAAACCAGAATGTATGAATGACAGGAGTAATGATCGCTTAACAATAGGAAGGGTGATGTGAGTCTCTGTGGTTTAGGATTTTGTGCCTGGAAATGGAAGGTCACATGTTCAAATCCAGAGTTGGCGGAGTAATTTTACCATTGGGTCCTCGAGCAAGGCACTTTTATTGTGACATGTCATATTTATGTATGAGATAAAGGTAGCAATGGTTGCCTTCACTGCGAAGTTCCAGAAAATAGAGGCTCATTTATAAGAAAAAGTCTGTACGTTTTTGCAGGACAGGAAAACAGTAAAAGCCAGATTTAATAATACCTTGCGATACTAATTGGGGTTATAAACCCCATGTATTTTAGAAACATTCACATGTGTGTTTCCACCCAATAATCAAAGATGACAACATGGACCTACAGATTTAGACTGTCGATGGGTCCAGGACTATGACTGTACGCTTGGGGGGAATCAGAGGGACTTTGGACGAGATGTGCTCTTTGTTAAAAGAATCAGTCAAAGAGCCTGTGTCTGTCTAACATTGATCTGCACACATTCTCCCTCCGCTGGCGGTTCGGGGGGCGGCTTGTGTCGTTAGGCTAGGTCGCGCAGGACACAGCATGCTAGTATGATCTGCACACCTTTGCCTGGTGGTATAACAGAATGCCACGCGACATGTCCAAACACAGCCACCTGGCGCTGTACCACTGAATGCGCTGCTCCGTGCTCCCCACTGAACCAGTGTTCCTCTTCACTGCGTGGGAGGTGCTATGAGGTTAACAGCCAGTGCTTCTGTCTCCTTTGAGCGCCACTGGGACATACCAGCCAAACATCTGACATACATCTCAAATTACTACAAATATGTGTATATTCAATATACCAATCTGCCATCCACCCCAAAGGGCCCCAACCTCAAGGTTATGTCCTACCCTGCCATTTCATAAAATAGAAGCATCATGCATGAATCCAGGCCAACGTGCAACAACATTTGTCAAAACCATGTTGGCGTTATAGATGAGTTGCACACTGATGGAATGAACCTGCTTTCAGTCCACAATAACAGCTTCATTTTCTGATGGTGCTTTAATTGCAATGTGCGTGCAGTCGATAGCGCCAACCACATTAAGAAAATCAGACATTGCTACAAATTGAATTTTAATGTTTGCCTGTACATCCATGCCACAGGGAAATTTAATATACCTTCTCGACAGCTGGTTTATACCAGCCACTGCTTGCGGAATAATGGAACTCAGTGTGGGCTGGGATATCCCTGATCTGTCAGCCAGTTTCTGTTGTTATGTTCCCGTCACCGGGAATCTAAATGTTGTCAGTACTTGGAGTTGGACAGGAGCAGCATGAGTCCATAATATAGGTTGTTCAAGGGCCAGAACCAATTTATCGTACTAGTCCACTGGAATCACTCTTGGCAGCCTGAAATGACTGATAAGCCACGAACCACCACTGGAAAAATAATCATAACAAACTGTAGACTTACCCTTGGCCAATTCCGCCGCGCATGTGTCCAAAATGTTTCACGATGCTGCGGGTGATATACTTATAAAAAAAAGCTTTTTATGCATAAACGAGGGTTTGATTTTCATGTATGTACACCTTTAATGTGTAGGGATCTGAGTGCATGATGACATAGCTGGTCACATGACTTCCAGAGTGTTGGAAGGTCACATGACCGGCAGGTTAGATCCTTCTCTTGATGCTGATCTGTTGTGATAAGCCCCCCTCTCATGCAGGGTGATTGCTAGGGGCATGTGTTCCACTCTTCCTGGAGGACACAGAGGCAGCTGGATGGTATTGTCACCTTTTTAAGTGTACACTGTACACCACTGACTCACTGGCTTCACTGACTGCTCATCTCTCGTCGAGTGCAGTGTAAGCAATTATCCATTTGCAGCAGCTTTGTTTGTAATAGATTTTGTAGCAAGTATTGTTTTTCTGTTTTAGTTAATCTGAGGTGACCCTCCCCACCGTGGGTTGCAGTGGGCATAGACACTGCACTCCACTGGAGGGTTCCCTCCCCCCTCCTTTGTTACTCTGTACTGAAAATTCTGGTAAAGTGGGCCTGGTCATCTGTTATATTTGCTGTGTTATACACTATATGGACAACAGTAACGGGACACGACTCTTAAATCATACGTCAGTTCATGAGATTTCTTCCCCGCTAGATATTCCACAGTCAGCTGTAAATTGGTATAATTGCTAAGTGGGTGCATTTAGGAACAACAGAAACTGAGCCACAAAGTGTCAGCCCACATACAGTAACAGAGCCGGGTCACCGAGTGCTGAGCCACAAAGTGTGTAAAAGTCACCAGCAGTCTGACTCAATAACTGCAGAGTTACCAAATTCCTCTGACATTAACTCCAGTACAAAAACTGTGCACCAGTAACTTTATGGAATGGGCTTCCATGGCCGAGCAGCTGCATGCAAGCCTCACATCACCAAGTGCAATGCCAAGCGTCGGATGGAGTGGTGTAAAGCACACTGTCACTGCACTCTGGAGCAGCGGAAACGTGTTCTGTGGAGTGACAAATCACAGTACTCTATATGGCAGTATGATGGACGAGTCTGGGTTTGGCTGATGCCTGAAGAACATTACCTGCCTGACCCTATTCTGCCAACTGTAAAGTTTGGTGGAGGAGGGATAATGGCATGGGGTTGCTTTTCAGGGGTCGTGTTAGACGAATTAGAACAGAAATTGTAAGCCAGGCCTTAATGTCCAACATCAGTGTCTAACCTCACAAATGCTCTTCTGGATAAATGGGCAAAAATTCCCACAGTCACACTCCAAAATCTTGTGGAAAGCCTCCCCAGAAGAGTGGCAGCTGTTATAGCTGCAAAGGGGGGGTCGACTCCATATTGATGCCAGTGGATTTAGAATGGGGCGTCATAAAAGTTCCTGCAGGTGTAATGGCCAGGTGTTCCAATATTTTTGTCCATATAGTCTACCTAGTATGGAGTAGGGACTAAAAAAAGGGTTCCAGAACTGTCAGAGGAACTACAGTCGAGCCAACTTCCTGTGGTAGGAACACAACAAAAGTCCCTGATTCTGGGAAAACGATCTGGTTCCTAAAAAGAATCTGCAGTGTAAAAGCGGGCAAAGTGTTACCAGTAGTGATTGATACATTTCAGAATGTAGTCATGTTGGTCTCTGAGATTTGAAGAGAAAATATACACACCCTTATTCTATGGTGGTTGCCCTGCTTTTTAACATATGATTCAATTTACAATGTACAGAAATAAAGTGGCCTTTATACCATACTGTGTGTGGTGGCCATGGGTACTGACTCTGTGTAGAAATGTGTGAGGTCTGATCCCTAAGATAAGATAGAGATACAGAGTGTTGTGGCCTAGATACAATATTCACCGTTAGACATGTTAGTCTTAGAGGTCAACATCGTTCATACCTGTGTGCACAGGTTGGCATTAGGCAGCATCACTTTAGCATGGGACACAAAGTAAGGGCACTTGAAGAACATCTTCAAACTGTGAGAACGTAGGAGAAACAAGCGGATGTCCACCTAGTCATGAGTAGAACAAGTGACCCTACATGGAATAAACAGGAGCCAAATAATCACATCCAATCCTGAAGCTATTTAAAGATGTTTCATGACAGTAGTGCACTGTAAGATCTTATTTGATTATTTAATGACTGGTGTTCCCATGACCACACACATAAGCAGGATGTCATACAGTATGAGGAGATAGTTATTCCTTGAATGGTAAGTTCCGATGGTGTAGTGGTTGCCATTTTGGGGAGGTGTTTATTGCTATGTGGACAAGGACTCTGGGGCTGTGATTGGAGGGTTGCCGGTTTGAGTCCTGTGATTGGAGGGTTGCCGGTTTGAGTCCTGTGATTGGCCGAATTGCATCACCGTTGGGCCCTTGAGCAACGCCCTTCACCCCAATTATTGGAATCTTGGCTGATCCTGCTGTTTGATCCCCGCTTGTAGGTGCTTTGGACAAACGCATCCAAAAAAGTGGCAAATATAAATTAATGTGCATTTCAAAGCAAGTAGGTCATGTGATTAATCAGTGCTAACTAAATATAAACCTGTGGTCTCTTTTTGAAGGAACAAAGATAGTTAAATAAAATGTACATCTATATACTCAGTTGATGGATGGATGGATGGATGGATGGATGGATGGATGGGGAAAAGCCTACTTTTTTCATACAACTATATCAACCATTAATTAAAGAAGGCGAGATGCAAGTACTGTGAAACAGGCCAGCTTCAGCACCTCATGGCAGCAGAGAGACCAGACATCTAACCATGCTTTCTGCTATCAATATATATAATACACACACACACACACACACACACACACACACACAGGCACCCTGGAAACCGATGTTTGGCATTGGCATGAATGACCAAAGGTTTGACTATAAAAACTCAACCATGAATGTTGACCCTGTGGATCTGCCAATGACCCGTTTTGGTGGAAACGGTAGAGTCAAAGTGCATATTTAATTCTGCATGGAGTTGGGCAGCTGTGCTTTTGTGTTTTTTGGATACAATCCTTTCAGACAGCTACCTCTTGCAGCCACAGTTACTCCTGTTGGACGTGGTCCGTCCTTCTTGACAGTATGCCAACGTTCCCAGAGACACCGTGGCTCTCGATACACCACAAAGACTTGCTGTCCTGGTCACAGATGCAGCAGCGTGATGTGCACCAACAATCTGTCCTATTGAACTCCAATACGTCTCCCATTATGTTGTGTGGATAGCAATATTTTCTAAAATAGTGTTAAATTTAACTTGGAGAATCCCGGGGGTACGCTGAAATATGACAGGCGTTTTTAGGTGTTCTCTTCTGTGGCAATTTTTCTTTTACGACCACTAGATGGAGAAATGGGACAATTTATGTAAAGCCTGGCTGCCTGATTTCAGGAGGGGAAATAGCGCGCATTCACTGTACCGCGTGACTCTTCGCGTGCTATAGTTTAGGACAAAAATGGGACATCGATAAAACAAATAGGCCTGCTCTAAGTTTTATTTCTTTGACTAAATTTCCAATCAAGAAATACCGTGGTAAGTCATGTGTTCTGTCTTTCGTTTTGTTCTTTTCCATTTAAAGTAGGCCTATAAATATTTATTTGCCTTTAATTGTTTTAATTTTGGAGACGTTTTTGTCCAAAGCGACGCACTTCACAAACACTGTTTAGCTCTCGACTATGCATGAATGCCCAGGTAGCCTGCAAGTGTAGGCAGTATGTGGGGGAACATAAATGTTTAAACCCGCGGGCACATTTTTGTCCGTATATACACAATTATATCATTTTACAGGAGTCTCTCCAAAGTGATTCCAAGTTTGAAACTACGGTTAGTAGAGTTAAAATGTAAAAAGGGCATGCGTAGTATTTCCACGCTGGAAACGTAGCAGGTCTCTTGCTTAGTACTGTTGAAATCTAGAATTTATTTATTTGGAAAATTAAGGTATACAGGCCTAAAAACAATTATAAATGCAATTCGATGCACTTAATTAAGTGAGAGTGGTTATAGAATAATTTGGTGTATAAGTCCTACCGGATCAATTCATGAAACTTCAATAATATGAGTCACACAAACACAATTAAAATCGCAAACTTTATTAAAACCTTAAACATCAACACCGGCAAACCGGTTGAATATATAACAAAATGGTATTTGTGAATGTCCACATGTATATACATTTCAGAAAAAGGTTACATTATGCTGAAATTTGACAGGATTTTTAACAGCAAAATTATTCAGTGCGCTGCTCCAGTCTAGGAATATTATACATTTTTCTAAAATAAAGATTAATCAGGAATAATCAGGACAATTAAAATAAGGCGATTGACTTCATAATGGTTCTTTACCACCTATCAACTTAATAATGACTTCGGCTGCAGTATTTTCTTCTTTATCTAAGCGGACTTACTCATATTCATATGGCGCACGGCTTGATGTCTTGCTGGCGAAGCAGTGAGTGGGTGTCGTTAGACCCAACGCCGGGTGGATGTAAGGAGGAAAACTTATTCATGTTCAGATGGAAATCTGTCCTTTCACGTACGGAGGAGGAGTGGGATTGATGTCTAGGGAGCCCTATTGCATGTAAAACAAGAAAAGCAAAAGTCTTAGAGATAATCATCACACATAAGACAAATCAACTAAACACCGCTACTCATAAGTGCGTGAATAAAAAAGAAATTTTGTGCAGGCCTACATAGTTAAAATTTATTTGTTCTGAAATTTATTTTAATTTGCGGACCATCGGGGGTATGGCCCGCGGTCACAAGTAATTGTACCCTCAAATGTACGAATTGGTAATTATTTTTCTGGCAGTGTAGGAAATCATGTAGTCTGACGAAAATAATCCTTTAAATTAAGGATTGTGAAACAAATTGTGAAATAAGAAATCTGTTAAGTTAAACGTGATAAAAAAAAATGAATATAGTTAACTAAATAATACTTAAATTACGAAAATGAGGCATGTTTTTTTTCTTCATAATGCACATCAATTTAGCCCCGTATTTAATAATAGCCTGACATATATGCGGTTTCGAAAAACAGATAGGTACAATGCTCCAGTGTTAAGTGTGCAATAATCAGGGCCTACTTTATTCCAAAGAGGAATCACATTTTCTGTATTTGGTTAAACTACCCGACTCGGTGCAGTCACCAGAATGACGCAGTGAGCTCCACATTAGTGTCGTATGTATAAATCGTATGTATTTTATGCATAAAGAAACCAAAAGTATTATCCGAGGAATTATATGACAGAGTTATTTTAATTCCAGTTTCTTGCATTTTTAAGCCAAGGGTTTAAATCTTTCTTAAACCAAGGACATCCAAATGAAAATAGACCATATCTAGTCGCAGCAACATTGTCAGAAAAAAAGTACCGATTTGTCCCTTTGCTTGTCACTCCGGCTGTACCCTCAAAGCTCTGCCAATTGTACCCTTAGCTGTATGTACTTGTACATTTTAAGAAACAGAAATGGACTCTGCGGAACATTTTGCACCATTTGGGGTACATTAATGTTGTTTGTACCCTGTGGACGTTCCTCAGCGTCAGTTTCTGTACCTTAAATTAGACCAAATGGTATATTTACCCACAGCTAGGGTACAATTGTCAGACCCTTGAGGGTACAGCCCCAGTGACAAGCAAAGGTACAAATTGGTACTCTTTTCTCTAACAGCGTACCATTAATGCTGACAATTCATTATTTACACCAAATTAGGGATTTTCTCTGCAGACCCCCTGTTTCTGATCTAGGAATTGGCAGGGCTGGTGGACATTAGGTTGAAAACCCGTTGTAAAGTATTCGTTTAGTAACAATAATAATATACTGATTATTATGGTACATAATTGTGACTAAAATATTCACGTATTACACATTTTATTTCTGCTTTGGGGGCATTGCTATTAGAGTGATGATGATGATGATGATGATGATGATTATTATTATTATTATTATTATTATTAAGGCACCACAGTTTTCACTGACAATTTGGCTGGTATTTTAAAGGTTTTATTGACGTCCTAAAATTGCTTTTTATAATAAATAATGTCAATCGCGGTCTTGAATCCTTCGGTAAGCCTACTTCACATTCTTACGCGTTAAATTAATAAAAGAGAATAAAACGAAAACGACTGCTAAGCAGCAACTCATAAAAAGGACTGAATTCATGTTCATCTTAATTAAGAATGTTATTTAACGTAAACATTCAGCTCACAATACGTTGACAGACACGCTCGTGTATTTTAATATTATTCAGATGTGATTCTAGGATTTCAGCCTTAGGGGGGCTCAGCCTCCAGTAGGGCTGCCATTGTTACGGGACAAATCGCTAAACGATTTTCGAAAAATAATCATTTGGGGGCTGAGACAAAAAGTAGGGTAGCTGAAGTCCGCGTTAACATGCTCTACAATTCTAGAATCTACAATGCCATTATTATTATTGATACATCTAGTACTTCTACTACTACTGTTGCTTTTTGCGCATTTATGAACCGAATGTCTATACAAATCTTTTACGAATAGGACTTAATATCCGTAGCGCAGTTTAATACACTTGAGACCTGCGTTCTCCCAAACGGTTTACCTGCAATGCTGGGTGCTTCCCCAAAGTTTGGATGGAGGCATCCCTGTTCCATGGCGTAGGATGGCATGCTGGAGGATAAACCCGAATGTACAGGATTGCTGGTAGCTGGTGCCAGAGATTGATGATTTATGTATGTTGAGCTAATATTGGGTGCACAGGGTGCACCAGCGCCTGCATAGGGGGAAAGACAATCCACACAGCTAGCCGATACGGTGGGTGATGACAGCGGTCTGCTGCTTCTGTTTGGACCGTAGTCTCCGTTTGTCTTTGCCTGAAAGCTGGTTATATACGCAGATCCAGCGTTGGAAGAGGACTGTGAGGTACGTTGGCCACCGTTAAATCCGTCGTACGTGGTGGTTATTGGATTCGACATTATTTCTAGGTTGTAACCATTGCTGTGACATGTCAAGGAGCCGGTTGGAGATTGGAAATCAAAGCTCTGCGGTAATATAGATGACCCTATACCAATTCCATTCATCATCCGATATATGGGTTTTAAAGCTTGGCATTTTCCTCTGAATCCCCTTGGTCTACGGCGAAAAGATCCTTCCTCAAACATATACTCACTGGCGGGGTCAATAGTCCAGTAATGCCCTTTACCTGCTCTCCCCATGCCTTTGGGTAATTTAATGAAACATTCGTTCAGAGACAGGTTGTGCCGAACAGAGTTCTTCCACCCTTGGTAAGATCCTCTAAAGAAGGGGAATCTTGCCTGGAGAAACCGATAAATCTCGCTTAGCGTTGATCTCCTCGTTGGGGAATTCTGGATAGCCATTACAATGAGCGCAATGTAGGAATAAGGAGGTTTGTCAGGGCGCCTCAGTCCAGATGTCACCTTTGTCGCCATAGCCGAAGGCGCCACGTCGCTCTCCGCATCTGGCTGCAAGTTCATCGGGGAGAAGGAGCAAAGCCAAAACTGTCAGTTTTAATCCGTTTCCCGCTTGTGCTCGTCCTACAGTGATCGTTGACTTGGTCCCGGAGTCGGATGAGGGCGGTTGTATAAATCAACTTCACAAGTCGATGAGAGAGGGAAGTGAAGTTGTTGTCGCCGTTTTTATTGTGGAAGAAACGCCTCGTTGAACTTCACTTGACCGGAGGTTGGAAAGAGAAGGAAAAACTTCTCTCCCTGCATGAAGATTCGGAGTTCAGGCAGAGGTAATTTTCAGATCCATTAATACATGCTCCGATGCTGAGTTATTTGCTCTGACAGTTTGCAGTGTACACTCCAGAAGTACCTCCTTAATGGAGATTTAACCATGAATCCACCAATCCAATCAATTCTACCAAAGGCCAAGTATTAGAGTAAAATGCTTGCTGAATTTGTGTAAAAAATGGTTCTGTTTTAAACGCTCAGCAATACTCCCATTTGCAAAAACATAGCCTAAATTGATTAGTTGGTGCAATAAAGGCTATTAACAGTCGTAAACGATGTTAAACATTCAAAGAAAATATATTTATTTAGCCTATATGCTTATTTGGGTGGCGGGGCTTATCGGGATTTGACGTGAGTAGAAGCAGGTTTTTCACGTCCAGCGCCGCCAGCATCACACAAAACGCCACGGTGTCATTTACCGACTGGTGTCCGGGTCCCACCTTCTAGCGGAAAGAAGGACGACAAGATGGAAAGAGCTGTTCTTATATGAGGACGCCAAACATGAGTCCTACTTCTTCTAACTGATTCTAATAATAATAATAATTATTATTATAATTATTGTTGTTGTTGTTAAGTTGCAGTACATAAGTTCATTCTTAAGGAATGTTAAGCTGATGGAGAATAGTGTGGTTTCCATGAGCTTAATATTTTATATGTTATTTAACCTTAGAATGTAGGAATGATTTTAGCTAACGTGATTTTCTTCCTACACTTTTGATAAATTATACGTCTTTCGTTCAATTACAATTCCCCTAGTATTTGTATTTTTATATAATACTTAATATGTAATTTCACTAGACTTACAGTAAACTGTGAAAAGGCGGAAATTTGGGGAAAAAAACAAAAAAAAAAACGACAGATATATAGATATCTTGCTTCCACCCCCCATTTCGCTTTCTTTTCCACTCTTGTGTGTGCGTATGTGTATGAAATAGGATGTGCTGTTTTGTGCGGCTGCTTCTCAGTGAAAGAAAAAATAACTTTTTGAAGTCACCATAACAATAAGCCTTGCACTTTTGCCCTTCACAATACAAAGGATATTCAGATATAATCATGCTGCAGCATAACAACAAAGGTAAAGGAACATAATCACCGTAGAATTTCCCTTAACATCAAAACTGGTAACCCCTGCTGGTTACAGGATGCATCACGGACTTAAAGGAAATTCTTCTCTCTGGCAGTAGAATAGTTTGGACGCAGAGTTAGCGATCTTGGTTACTGTGTCTCAGTTATACATCCTCGAGTTACCAACTGATGGGTGTTTCTCTAATAATCGGGTGTAACAACCTCGATGCACAGTAACTAAGGACATATCTGGCAAACTCCTGTGTTTTGGCATAACTTTGCTTCATTTAAGAAATTATAAAATAGATAGCTTTACCAAATTGTTAACTTGATGTGTGGGCATCTGAAACATGAAATATGTCTTTTGTAAGATAAATCGAATGCATTTTCCCGCATTACTGTGGTTTGCAACCATAGAGTTATAAGCAAATGGCCATTTTCAAAAAAAGAAAAAATGCAATCAATACAAAAGTTCAATTACACTAAGGATACCAAGGAAAGAGAAGATGGGATTGTGAGACATGTTTTATATAAAAGTAGTTTATGTAAAAGTATGTTTTAAAATGTGCTAAAAGTTTTCAAATTTACAGAAATTCTAATTAAAGTAGATTTCTGACTGGCTTCCCGTTGCCAAAACTGAAATTGACCCTTTTTCAGGTGTGTCATTTCAGTTTTCTACCTGCAGGCTGCAGCGTCGTCCTTTTAAAAAATGTTTTCATTGTTAACATGCCGACACTTGTACCAGAATTTAGCATCATTTAGAGACGGTAAACGTGTAACGATTTCTGGTACCCACTGAAGATTCTATAAACAGAATAGCTGCAACATGTTTTCAGAATGAGGGTAATATGTCAATTCCATTATGAATTATGTGAATGGAATTGGGGTGCGAAATGTACATGGATGCATGGGCCAAATAACTAAATAAAATTATTTTTCTGGGGGGTACTGTGCCTCCCTTATTTGTTCATTCTGTTATCTGCTACGGTGCTACGCTTTTGTGAAATTCCCTGGTTCTGAATCGCATCCTTATTGCCGCAGGAGGGCGCGCTCGTCACTCGCGCCTTGATAAAAGCGAACTGCGATCGTGCAGCAGATCCATCGGGAAGCAGGATCTGCGGGGTATAATGGTCCCTCACTTCAATTCACTCCACAGACCTGATGACGATCCGCCTCCGCTGAAGCTTAGGCATCGACAGATACCACAGTTCGATAGAAAGGAAAACAGCTTTGTGTGATGTGATGTTTTGTTATGTTTAACTTCATATATGATAAGAGCTAGATTTTGTTGGGAGAACTTAACTCATTGGAGGTATTGTGGTGCTGCCGGTTGACCAGTGTATCTCCCAGCGTGCCTAGCGCCCGCTATTCATCTAAATAGTTGAAGCTAATATTTAATGTTATTTATTAATATGATCTCTCTGAAGTTGCTGGGAATCATCCACTCTATCGAATTGCAGTATCGGGCGATTCTTGAGTTAAATACTTACCCTGCTCGAGATTATGGACTAAATTGATAACCTTGCGGTTCTCTCCCCATGTAATGCGTTTGTTCTAATACACCTGCATCTATTGCTATTTGCTTTTATCAAAGCAAAATTAAACTCAATCTGAATCATATCACAATGTCTTTGTCTTGTGGTTTGTCATGCTTACTCGCCAAAGTATTGTGTCTCCTCTGTGATTTCCAGTGCCCGCTTCCTAAATTAGGTACTGCTGCTGAGCCTGACGTGATTGGCTGGCTACATTGAGGTATCCTCATTGGCTGGTCCTAGGGAGCCACCCGTGTGACCTATGGGGCTGATCTGCCATAATTCTTCATCGAGATCTAGACGGAGTTTTCTGAAAGCGTTGTAATAACTTCATGACTGACAAATTCCCAGACAGAACTGCCCTTTGTTCAGACTTTTGTGTCCGTAAAGCAACGACCTACTATCCCAAATAGGATTAGAATTTAGAATTTAGTGATCAGTGGTCATTGTTGACACACCACAGCACACAGTGCGCAACAACGAGATGTGTCCTCTGCATTTAACCCATGTGTGACGTCGTGACATAGCAGGGGGCGGCTAATTCAGCGCCATCCATGATTAATGCATATAGTCAAATCATGTTCAGAACTTGATGGATGCAGAAAAGAATGAATATCAGATGCACGACTATAGTTCTGCAGTGTATGTTGTCAGTGCAAATATACAGATTTTTCGGTACCTCTTTACAATAAAGCTCCCTTTTGCCGATTATAAATGGTAGTAATACATTAATAAAAATAAAATCGTGTTTTGACTTGTTCATAATTCTCTAATAATCATTTACAAAGTTTTCCAACCTAAATAATAACCAGATTATAAGTCATTCATAAACTTTTTCTAAAGGTAGTCTTATTGTAAATTAGTGCCAATTGCTCTAAACAATTTAATTAAATATTTAAGTTACCTGGGAATTTTTTATGCAGTCATGGCATGGTTGGGACAGAGTGGTGACTCTGAAGCTAGGGATCTGTACCAGCACCTGGAAGGTTACTGGTTCGAATCCTATGAATGCCCAAAGTGATTCTACTCCATTGGGCCCTTCAGCAAAGGCCCTTAACCTGCAATTACTTCATCCTGGGTATGATGTTAATCTACATCCAGCCCTGAAAGGAGATCCTCCAACTTAGAGGGGAAATTTGGGGGTTGGTGGCAAGATTGGCACTGCAGCCACTGGGGGTGGGGGGGAAACCTCATGCTGGTCCATTTGGACTGGTGTGGTGCTGAGGTATCACCCGCCACATGGCTGCACTCAGGTTCTCACCCCTGAGGTGGTTGGTTGTGTGGTGGGTGTGGAAACGCACTGTATTCAGTGCATGCTCCTTACACACTGTATTCAGCGCATGCTCCTTACACACTGTATTCAGCGCATGCTCCTTACACACTGTATTCAGTGCATGCTCCTTACACACTGTATTCAGCTCATGATCCTTACACACTGTATTCAGTGCATGCTCTTTACACACTGTATTCAGCGCATGATCCTTACACACTGTATTCAGTGCATGCTCCTTACACACTGTATTCAGCGCATGATCCTTACACACTGTATTCAGTGCATGCTCCTTACAAACTATTCAGTGCATGCTCCTTACCCGTCTCTCATGGTGTGCTTGGAGCCTACCCCAAGAAAGAACACAGGTGACACCCTGGATGAGATGCTAGGGAGATGCTGAGTTAGGGTAGTTCCAGAGATGCCTAAACACATAGGGAGTATGCAGAAGAAACCTGCACAAATTCTGAACAATGATACAAAAATGCATATACACATAGAGCCAGGGGCATTGACGGGGCATGGATAGCCAAGCAGATTCAGGGGGCACTGCACTTCACAGGGGTTATTTATACACTCCAGAAACAACACTGCACATTTTACCCTCGGAGGACATGATGAGAACTATTATGATGATGCACTTCATTCACTCTATAACATGGCTGAACTGGCCTTTTGGCATACTGGGCTGATGGGCATGGGGGCCAGCAAAATATATTGGGGGGGGGGGGAGGGGTGTCCAGTCAGCTGAGTTTTCTGTGAGGGTCCCCAAAGTCAAGGGCTGATTTTTAATCTGCTGTATAATATACCTTTTATGGAAATTACGCTAACCTGATATAGTAGCAATACATTATTTGATTTGGGCAAGAATGAATAAAACTTGCAAAACAGTTCCCTATATATAATTAACCGTTGCACCAGATACTGAAATACATCTTGTGTGCATGTGTATATATTAGCCGAACCCTTTTCACAATACGTTCTCAGTATTGATCCAGCAGTGCTTACTGGGATGTCCAAGCTCTTGGTTATTTTTGTACCCTATTCTGAATACATTCTCTTTGCTTGGTTGATCTTTAACTTCATTATAATATTGTTTAGTATACACTCTCGGGGGAAAAGGGTAAAAAATTGCACCTTTGCTTGTCACCGGGGCTGTACTCTCAAGAGTGGTACATAAATGGACTCTGAGGAGCATTTCTGTACCAGTGATTGTACATTAATGCTGTTTGTACCTTTGAGCCGTTCGTCAGAGTTCCTCCATGTCATGCCCCGATCGTCCGTCCGTCCTTCCGTGTGCCACGCCCCCCTCGTTAACCTTGTGTGGAATCCCCGTGTGGTCAGCTGTTTCTTGTTGCTGTCATTAGTTCAGTGTATTTAAGTCTGCGTTACGTATGTTTTCCCCAGTCCGATCATTGAGGTTCGTCCAGTTTATGGTGTGTCGTGTTCCTTGTTTTATGATTAAAATCCCTTGTTCGCCCGATTTACCTAAGGGTCTGCTGCTTCAGTGCATGCTCCTTACACACTGTATTCAGTGTGTAAGCACAAGTCGTAACATCTATACCTTAAAAAGTACAATTAAGTACAGCTAAGGCAGACCCTTTGCCCCCACCTTTCATTAATAACAGCATGAAAGAAAGGGGTAGAGCAGCAGATGGAAGCAAACTATATCATGTGGAGTTTCCAGAGCACAGGAGTTGAATACTTTAGTAAGCATCATTTTTCAGTTTTTGATTGATTTTAACAGATTTGTTGACAAATAATTGATTTTCAGTTTGCAGTAAAAATACTGAAAGGGAGACTACGTGTATGTATCATTTGTCATTTTAAGGGGGTCCGATACCTTTCCAGTATATCCATTTTTGGTCGTCTTAGCGGTAAAATGTAGCCTAATTAGTTGGGATTTCCATCTGTTTTGTTCCATTCCAATTTCCGTTTCCAGTGTAATAAGCCTTAATTTTAACTGACGTCAGACTGCAACAAACAAATGAACGAACGAATGACTGAATGGGTGGGTGAATGAATGAATAGATGAACAAACAAACGTATTGAATATGCGCGCCCATCCATTCATCCTTCCAAGTTGGATGAATGGACAGTCCGTCATAGGACCGAAAGAGAGAGAGCGCATGTATAGGGACTTCTGAGGGAATCCGTATTAATGTAATTAATAACGTAAATTAATCTTCATCACAAGGAACTTTGCTATATAGTTCAGCATGCTAAGTACCTGACATTGCACCTGATGTGTGTGCTATGGTCCCGGATCTTAAATATCAACTGTGTTTAAGTATCACTGCCAGTTTAGTGTTTTCTCAAATCTATTACTATTTATTCGTTAATTCATTCAAATACTGGCTAAGAAATAGATTCTGTCGCCTACAAATCAATCTCGTTAATATCTGAGGAGATTAATTGCTTCTTATCCATACATCAATCTTCCATTACGCCAGCGTCGGCCACTAGGTAGGGGACACCCTGGACGCGCCGTGATCAGGCATATTCACACACGCGTACAACGCAGAATCACAATTGATGAGCACTTTTGAAACACTAATTCACCGGGCTCCAGTGACAGGCGATTTTATTCCGATTGCAACTTCGCTGAAGGTACTGACAATACTTACAGCTACAAACTCTTTCGCAGTTTCTCTTTTAATATTAAAAATAAATCTGATGCATGTTTCAAAAACAGAAATGTGAAAAGTTTTTTTCTAAAATAGACCCAGTGTACATCCTATAGTACCGCTTGAAAATTGTCATTATGACATTTAAACCACAATAACGTCATTCTTCAATAACACCTGCTTGAATAAAGACACCCACAATTGGATTTTGCCACACAAATGCCGCAATATCCATGAAGAAACATATTTAAGAATGTGGCAGATCGCTAGTTCCTCATATACTTATACTCTTTGTTAGCTTACCAGATAATTTCAGACATGTTAGTACAACAATCTCCTTGTTTAGTTGCGTCTCTGGAACTGCTTGCGTCTTGTTAAACAATATGTACAGTGCTTACGTACAGTTCTCATACAAAAGTCCAATATTTTAAGAAAGCAGATTGTCTATTTTGAATGAACGATAGCTGTCCGTTCTGGAAGCTGGGGCTCGACCACAAAGGAACATCTCCGTGATCGGTAAGCCATCCGCGGTCATGTGGAGAGCATTTAAGCCACCAGGTCTGCAATCCACCAAGGCGACCGGCTCACACCTGAACGCATGCGGCAAATGAGCGCCGTATGAACGGACCTGGAGCATCGGCGGATGGTGGGAAACGGCGACAGGTGGGAGGTTCACCACGCAGGGCATCATGTCAGTACTCCTGGGCCACTTCATCGGGTAGATGGAGGGGCTTCCAAACCTGCTCTGTCCATCATCTCTCCTCTTGAAAGGCTTGCTGAGGATACTGTCAATTGCAAAAGAGCTAGAGAACTTTGCAGCACCTCCATCCTGCTTACACGGCGTGCTGGGGCTCGGGGTCGACGCACCCTCGTCGCTGGAGCTCTGTAGGACCTCTTGGGGTTTGGTGAACTTCTTGCTGATGCGCTTCCTCCGGCGCCGGAATACCCCGTCCGCAAAGGTGTATTCGCTGTGAGGGTTCAGCATCCAGTAATTGTCCTTCCCCCAAGGTCTGGAGGGGTCCCGAAGCACCTTAAGAAAGCAATCATTTAGCGATAGGTTGTGGCGGACCGAGTTTCTCCAGCCGGAGTAGCTGCCCCTGAAGAAGGGGAACTTTTTCATCAGGTAATCGTTGATCTCCGCCAAAGTCAGGCGCCCGGTCGTCGAGTCCCGAATCGCCATAGCGATCAAGGCGATGTAGGAATATGGAGGCTTGGGTCTCCGAGTGTAAGATTTGGCTTTTCCATTTGGCGTCGATACTGCCGGTCCGGGGCTGTTCGCCATATAGTCCCCATCGGAGCAGAGTCCCTCTTCCCCCGACTGCGGCGAAGCTGCGCTGCAAACCTCCAGGCGCTTCTCCTCGTAGTGGCTCCCGCACAGAACCTCAAACTTCATGGCGTATAACTAAATAGACACCGATGGTACTTAAGCCATCTTCACAGCTGTGCAAAATCCAAAATGCACCTTGGGACTTTCGGAGGCACTATTTCAACTTTCCGACTCCATGGCCAGCCCACAGGGGCGGGCCGAGACTTAAGGTTTAGATCGCACCGGTTTACATTAAAATGCTGCTTTAATTTCACGTAACACGTACTAGTGCTTAAATAATCTTAGTTTAAACGTGGTATCGTGCTATTTATTTAATAGATTTATGTACAGGTATCTGAAATTAGTTTCAGCTGGTAGTTACTTTCGCTTCTCTTCTCTTTCCTCACACCTGTCTCACAGCAGTCTATTACCTGAATGTTTCCTACAGAAAACCAGATGGCGTACGTAGGCTATACCAAATACCAAAAAACAATATATTTTGGAAGTAAAGCGCGTATTTTTATTATTATTATAATATTTTCTTTCAGATTCTGGAAAAAAACTCGTAAATGGTTACAGAACGGTATATGTATGTATGCCTACAGTATGTAATAGTTAGCTGTATTGACGTCACCTGCAAGAAAATATTCACGCGACTCTAGCGTAACAACAACAATAAAGTGAATATTATGTTATATTATATAATATGAGAAGGTGGTTTAGACTTGTAAAAACATTTCAAGATCTTTGATACTCACTAATAAAATAGAACAAACACACACACACCCTAGGATAATTTACAATCACTGATTTACTGTAACTTTATGTCATTGGACAATGGAAGGAAGCCAAGTGAAAGAGCAGATTAACCCGGACTTGTCCTCTTACTGTATGGGAGTATTTAGACTCTCCTCCAGGACTCCAACGGCCTTCAAATGATTTGGAAGGTGAGAGGTGCTGGGTGAATGACAGTCTTCATTTTCATCCATATTTTATTACAAAAATATATAAACACAAATAATGAACTGAGTATTCTTTCTAGCAAAGGTGTGCTACAGTAATTTAGCCTGAAACCAGACAAACCAGTATCTAACTAAATATAACAGGAATGTAGTATAAGATGAATTTACACAAAGGATTTATGGTGAAAACTAGTAGAATCGAAGCTTTATTAGATTTGAATCAGTTTATGTAACTGCTCAATACAAAATAACATAAAACTGTATCGATTCTTTTGAAAACTACATTTAAGAGCTTTTTGAAATCTGGGTTTTAGAAGGGCAAGGTTTGAAATCTTCAATATAAATTTAAATAACTACGGCAAAGTATGATATAAAGAGAAATCGTTTGATTTCTCGGAAGTATTATTAATCTAATTTATTGAATCCCCACAATCCTGAGTAGGATATGCAGTTGGAATATAGATAGATAGATCGATAGATAGATAGATTGGTGCATAGATAGATGTATAGATAGATAGATGGATAGATTGGTAGATAAACCATCAAATCAACATGATTTACGTAAGGGTGGTGAAGCACTGTTTCCCCTGTTTCCTTCAAGAACTCTGCAGGCCAAAATGATGAATCAGTATCTTGGAATGACACATAGTGTGTTATTGTGTAAGTGGGCGTGGCCTGCGATGTACTAGCGTCCCTTCCAGGGTGTACGCTGCCTCGTGCATCTTAATAGTGATTGTATGCGCATTGTGACCTTTTACTGCATCAGTGGTCATGAACAATGGGCCAATGGTTGAATGGATGGATGAATAGGTATGTATAATAAGTAAATTAAATGAGTTCTATTCCCTTGTGTAAAAATGTCATATTGCATTTACAAATGTAATGAAATTTAACATTGATTGGATTAACATACTGTGTTGTAAAAATGTTGAGGAGGTCTTTTGAGAAAGATTACTGTCCTAGTAGACTACCAACCATAGTGTCTTTGCGAAGAAAGCAAGTGAAAGCATAATCTTTGGATAACTGACTAAATATATGCCAAGTAATTGAGGTTTGCCTTCTCATTCTGCATTGTATATACAATACAGACAACACAATATCACTTGCCAGTATGGGGAATGATTTCATTTCTGGAGAAAAACAGCAGTGATGTTTACCACAGTACTCTCATAATAGGCAAAGTCTAGTTTACCTCAACCGATAAATGATCCTTATTTTGTAACAGATTTGCCTGAGGTTTTTTTTTTTTTTCTGAATTTCATAAATGGGAAAGTTACTATGTCATGCCAATACAGTGTTGACAGTATTGATATTAGAGGAGCTCTGTAAAATAGGCAATGGGAAGTACAGGTATGCAACCAGAGCTAATGATCACAACAAGTATGCCTTGTAGAAAGTTCCTGCGGAAGTTAGGTTCTCTCTCTCTGTCATATATATATATATATATATATATATATATGTATATATATATATATATATACATACACACACACACACATATACACACACATTGTATATGCTATTCATATCATCACAAGGAAGCAAAATTCCTTGTGATGGAGATTGACTTGCGGAAGTTATTAATTACATAAACTTTTGTGTTGTATGTGGTTCCTCCTGATATTTTGGATTCCCTCAGAATTCTCTGTCTTTCATATATATATACAGTAAAACCTTGGGTTGCGAGCATAATTTGTTCCGGAAATATATCAAAGCGAATTTTCCCATTAGAAATAATGGAAACTCAGATGATTCATTCCACAACCCAAAAATATTCCTATGAAAATGATTAATACGATTTGATTTTGTAGGACGGCTTTCACTATAACTAACGGAATCACTGCTATCTGTTGGCTCACTGGAATCTTTTTCTTTTTGTGCAAATTTAACAAGGAACCTATCCAATGATAGCAGCTTTTGCCTCCTTTTCGATTTCACGGAAATGTGGACATTGCATTGTCGTTAAACAGATTCATCGCTCGTACTACTACGCCCTTAATCAGGTGGTGCTTTTCTACTAAATTTTGACTATATGAGTGAGGCACGCCAACTGAGACCAAGCATGGGAGACAATTACCCACAATCCCACAGCGAGAGAGAGAGAGAGAGAGAGAGAGAGAGAGAGAAGAACCATCAGCTCAGCTGTGATCACATGACGCTCGGCAGACAAAGCGTATACATAATACTCATATTGCAAGACCTCGCTCGTTTATCAAGTTAAAATTAATTTAAAAATTTTGCTCGCCTTGCAAAACACTCGCAAACCAAGTTACTTGTAATTCGAGGTTTGACTGTATATATATTACCTAGTGTATCCATCCATTTTCCAAAGTCCTTTGTCCTATTAAAGGTTGGGTGGGTCGGTGGGGGGGGGGGTTTCTGAACCCTATCCCGGAAGGTATGGGTGCATGGCTGGTAACAATCCAAGATAAGGCACCAACCCATTGCAAGGTACGTTCACACACCATTCAGTCATGCACACATACCTATGGGCTGTTATGTAACTATATTGCACTGTAGCATGTTTTTGGACTGTGGGGGGAAGGCAAAAGAAAGCCCACGATGACATGTGGAGAACATGCAAACTCACATGGAACCATGGTAGAGCCCCCAACCGTTGGGCCGCCCTTATGTATAATATATTGGCCCCAATGAGTCTGTTAATTTCCTCCAGAGTAGTTTGAATAATCAATGATTTGATGTAGGGCAGGACAGTGACTCTGTGGTTAGTCATAAGCCCAAGACCAAAAACATGTTGGGGTTAATTGGAGTTGCCAAATTGCCCATAGGTGTGGGTGAGTGAGCCCTGCGATGGGTTGGCGCCCCATCCTGGGTTGTTCCCTGCCTTGTGTCCTGTGATGGGTTGTTGCCCCATCCTGGGTTATTCCCTGCTTTGTGCCCTATGATGGGTTGGCGCCCCATCCTGGGTTGTTCCCTGCCTTGTGTCCTGTGATGGGTTGTTGCCCCATCCTGGGTTGTTCCCTGCCTTGTGCCCTGCGATGAGTTGGTGCCCCATCCTGGGTTGTTCCCTGCCTTGTGCCCTGCGATGGGTTGGTGCCCCATCCTGGGTTGTTCCCTTCCTTGTGCCCGTAGCCTCCAGGATTGGCTCTGGACCCTCACAGCCTTCAATAGGACAAGTGGTTACAGAAAAGGGATTCATGCCTAGACGGTTGATTTGATGTAGTAAATAGGTGAAATTGTGTATGAGTTCAGCCAAGTTGCCTACAGTAACAGAGAGCAGGTGATGCTTCACAAACAAACACAACGCAAATGGCAGAAACACTGAGAGACCTAGAACTCACATGGGAGTTATGAGCAGCCTCCAGAGCAAATGATAATCATTAAACTGTCTTTTCGCACCACACCTTCACACAGCCTGCAGGCTATGTTGACTTCAAATGAATTCAAAGTATTCTCCTCCCCTGTCTGTTGTTGGGTTCACAGAGCAGGCAGGAGGAACCTGCATGACCCTTGAATGACTGCATCCAGATTTTTATTTTTATTTTTTTTGCATATGTGCAAGATATAGATTTGGTTTTGCCTCTGGCTCTTCTACAGAACAGCATTATAGCTAATTTGCATAAAACCAAAATGCAATCCCTCTATCAGCTTCAACAAAAAAATCTAATTGACCACTCAGCCGAACCCTACCCCTACCCAGCATCACACAATGACAAAATACGGCCAGTCAGGCATATCACACTGCAGTGCAATCTCACGCCAAAATGCTCTACTCCTTTCACAACTACATTCCTCTCACGCTAAAAGCGACACAGCTCCAGGTAAGCAAATGATAAATAAATAATTTAAAAGCAAACCGAAAAATTTTGAAGCTTTCAAGACACAATTGCTGTTGATTGTCACCTGAACTATTTAAGGTGCGTTTTAATGTCAGGTGCCAATATTTTGACATCCAAATTTGATACTTCCCTCTACCACAGGTTCTTGGTGGTATTAGCTTGAAAGATGATATTGGAAGCATGAGGAATTTTGTTGTTTTGAAAAGCGTCGACTCTCATTTTTTTATATCTACATTCCATTTCCAAGCGCCAAACACTTTTGTATATGCAAATCTCTGTATTGTTGAGTCAAAAATGCATATCAGAATCAGAATTCACGTTATTGGCTAGGGGCATCCAGATGCAGTAGGGATTTGATTGACCATTCGTATGCTCTCATGTTTGTGTGGGGAGGGAGGTCGAGGGAAGAGTGAACGTTTTTAATAAGGTAGAGAAAGAGGTAAACCTGGATCTACACTGTTATACATCACATGATGATTTGACCAGTAAGGAAATAAGTAAATGGGACTCTAATG